CAAAGTTCAATCCAAGACAAATTCCACATACCGAAGAGAGACAAACATTGTTAGAAGCAAACAAGAGTGTATATGAACTGTTCATAGATGAAACTGACTTTGAGTGTTTAGATGAAAGGTCATTGTACGATTCGTATAAACAATATTGTCAAGAGTATGGTTATATGACAGCGTCTAAACGAACATTCTTGGCAAATGTCAAAAGTCTTTTAGATGTTCAGAATGGTGTATATACAAAGAAAAATTTTTCTGAGTAAATTTTAAAAAAAATATTTTTTTATCCGATAGAAAAGATGACAAAATTCATCTCAGTAAACAAGTACATGTCAGGACTTAAAGAAGAACTAGACCCATTCACATATTTGAATGTTTACTTCTACCATTTTGAAAAGTCTTCATTCAGCAAAGTTTGGAACATCGAACCAGTTAAGTTTGCTGTTGTGACTAAAAATGGTGCGAAATTTGAAGACTTAGACATAGAAGGTTTGTTAGCAGTCAAAGAAAGTTTTGACAGAAGGTTCTCAAAACTCGAAGAAGGTAAAGCATACAAACTTGTTATACCTTATGAACCAAAGAAAGCAGACGGCTATGAATATTATGAGTCTAAAGTTGTAGAAGTTCAAGGTAAATTGGGTAAAAAGATTTTAGAGTCTAAGCCAGTGTTTGCTCCTAAAGAGGAAGAGAACATTGACATTGACCCAGAAATGTTCTAAAAATAAAATTTTATTTTTACATGTCAAATTTCTTTTTCTCTGGAACTGGTTCAGGTTCTTTCTTCTCTTCTTCTACTTTCTTTTCTTTCTTTTCTCTCTCTTCTTTTCTGGTGGAGTTATGTCAAACTTCTCAGAACCATATTTTTGTAAAAGTTCTTTGTCCTTTAATAGCTCTTCTATTCTGTTTTCTATTTCATCTTCAAGAACAGTGCATGTGTCTTCTTTGCATTCTAAGAAGTTTTGTTGGACTTCATCTCTCCAAGAGGCGTCATCTCTGTCAACAAGTCTGTCATTGACAAATTTTAAGACTGCTCTGCTTAATGTTTTATGGTTCTTGTCATATTCCCAGAAACAGAACTTTAGAACAAATTCACCTTTCTTGTTTACACTATGTAAGATTTTATGGTCGACAGATGTTTTGCTGTCGAAAAGCTTGTCTCGAATATAGATGGCGAAATCACTAGACATTTTCTAAAAGATAAAAATTTTAATTTTTCTAAAAATATGTTAGAAAAAAAGTTTGCTGACATTGACAAGAAATTTGAGAATGTTTTAAACAAGAACAAGAGGAAGTTGGAAAATGCTCAGATAAAGCCTATACATGACAAGTTCTTATTTGCTCAGAATGGTATAACAGGTCTAATTGCACCGCCTGGGTCGGGTAAGACTTTCACTTATCTTAAAATGGCTGCACAACAACAAGAACTAGATGAGAAGAACCCATTCTATGAGTTAGTTGTCATTTGTAGTACTTCTGGTCAATTTGACCAAACCGTCAATTCGTTCAAAGATATTATAAAAAAGTCTAAGTTAGTATGTATAAAAGACTCTGAGTTGTTAGATTGGATAAAGAAGTACCAAAGAAGAGTTTTGAAGTACAATGCTATAAATGAGTATATAAATTCGAAGTTTAAAGACCCAAATGAGGAAATGCAGAGAATATTAGAGAAGAAACACTTCAGAAACAAACAGAAAGAGATAGAATACATTTCGAAGAAATTGCAATCTTACGATTGGAAGACATACCCTCATAGGTGTCTTCTTATCTTAGATGACTTTGCTTCTCATCCTTTGTTAAAGAACAGAGAACAAGATATGTGTCGAATTCTTAAGAAGCTCAGACACTTTAACATCTCTGTTGTCATTTGTGTACAGACAGCCAAGAGTTTAAGTAAGGATGTAAAGAGAATACTTACTGATATTATACTTTTCCCCGGATTGTCCGAAGACGATTTCATGGAACTTATGAAAGAGTCCATGGCAGGTAAGTTTGACAGACATGAACTATGGGAGAAGTACAAAGTCATACAAGACCCTCATACTTCTTTCAGAATTCACATCTACGCGAACAAAGTTCAAATTGTAAAAAGTCAAGCTTGAAAAATCTAAGTGTTTAGTCTTAGTAAGATGGTAGCTTCTTAAAGCAAATACCATTGCTGAGTTTTATGTACGTGAAGAGAAGTACAATGAATTCAATTACGAGTACAATTGCAATGACAACTAAGGCAACTATTTTTGTCTTTTGCCAGCAAGGGTACTTCTTCTCTTCCAATGGTTCGGCAGAACTATACTCACTCATGAGAAATGCCAAAACGGTTTAATAGAAAAAGTGAAAGTTATTCTTCATTTTTTTGTATAAAAGATATGATTTTAGGGATTTTTTTGACGAAGTGCAAAAGTTCTCTTCGTAAAAAAATAACAGTTATATAATGAAAAAGTGTCATTTTTTTACGATTTCAGGGATTTTTTTGACGAAGTGCAAAAGTTCTCTTCGTAAAAAAATAACAGTTATATAATGAAAAAGTGTCATTTTTTCATGTCCGAAGACTCGAAGGTGCAACACTTCCAAAATACCGACGAACTCAGAAGAGCAGCATGGCAGTATCTTCTTGACAACTTCTTTGAGTTCTCCAGGTACACCTTGGAAAATGCTGAAGAACTCCGACACAGAGAATTTGGAGAAATTGCACTCCAATACTACCTTGACAAACAAAGGGTAAACAAAGGGTAAACAAAGGGTAAAATAAGACTAAAAACTTAACGTTTAAAAAGTGACATTTTTAATGAGCTCCGAGTCACCGAGAAAACTTGGTCAGATGTTAGCAGCTTACTTCCCTGAGGAGGATGGAAGCGTTACATACGTAAGGTTCAAAAACAACGAACCTGGAATTGCGTACCAAATTCGCAATTACATGACCATGGAAGAGTACGAAAGGCTCCTACAAGAGAAACCAGCTCTAAACAACTCAGAAAAGAAAGAATAAAAAGTTTAACTCGTAATTGTTTATTTTTTTTACTTGTATGGGCAAGCTGCAAGAATGAAGTCGACTATCTCAGTCTTTGTCTTGACGAGCTGGACGGCTCTTGCGAGTACGTCTGTTTTGCGGTCTCCAGCTGGTGTCTGACCTTCGTAATTGCGCATGTTCTTGAGAGCTCCAACTGTAAATGATTGTAGGATGAAGAGTCTCTCAGACTGCTTGAGGTAGTCTTCACGGTCACGAACCGAATCTGTGGTACGAGTCGAATCGGTCGATTTGAGGGAAGAGACTGAAAGCCTGTCATCTTCCATTGGAGCTGTAGCATACTCTTTGCGTAAGCGGTTCAGACCTTCTTCGAAGTCTTGGTCTCTCTTCGATTGAGATTGGAATTGGAATTGCTGGGGTGGAGCTTGCTGGGATGGAGCTTGCTGGGGTGGAGCTTGCTGAGATTGGAATTGCTGGGGTGGAGCTTGCTGGAACATCCAAGGGTTGGGGAAGTAAGGCATAGGTTGAGGAGGAGGGTAGTTCGGGAAGCCTTGTGGTGGGTAGTAACATTGAGGTGGAAATTGGTAGTAATTTGGTGGAGGTACTTGCTGGAACTGAGGTGCAGGGGCTGGTGCTTTAGGTTCTGTAGCTTTCGGTACTTCTGGCTTTGGAAGGCATTCAGGAAGAGGAACGTCAGTCATCCGTTTGTGTCCTGTCGGAAGGAAAATTTTTTCCTGTCGGATGGAAGGACTCGGAATGCCAGAAGGAAGAACTTTTCCTGAAGTTCGACCAAAAAGTTCTCAATTTTCGAAAATTTGAATGGTTTACGGACGGACAACTGGAAAATTTTTTCCTGTCGGAAGGAAAAATTTTTCCCTTTGTCCGGAAAAAATTTTCCAGTTGTCGGGAAAATATTTTCCTGTCGGATGGAAGGACTCGGAATGCCAGAAGGATTTGACGAGGCAGTTTACCTTATAGAGATAAATGAAGTTGTTAAGCAGTACTTGCGCAAGGTAATGAAGCCCAAGGTCAAGTTCACCAGTATTTCTGGAAGGTCTACACTTCAGCTCGAGACTTCGACTGGAATTCCAATTCAAATACCAGACGGGACAGCCTACGATGGCATAAAGGACGCCAAAAGAGAAGCTCTTGTTAAGTTCCTAAACAAACGTCCTTGGATAAAAATACCAAACAAGGAGAACCCCCTACCCCATATGAAATTGGCAATTCAGTCTCTCCTTCACTTCTCGGGTCAGCCGTTCTACATAACCTGTGAAGGCGACATTCAGCCAGTTCTTCAGCCAGTTCAGTAAACATCTCATTTTAACTTCACTTTTTTTATGTTTTTACGCATGTGAAGAAGAAGCCTTCTGGTAAGTTTCTTATAGCCATATACATGGCACGCTTTGAGTAAAAACATTTTTTGAATGAAGCAAGTTAAATTCGTCCCACACCAATCTCAATGGACCGATGAAGAGTTTCAAGCTATGGTTGAAGACGTTGAGAACGACATAGACGGCGAACTTGAAGGAGCTCAAATCACAATTGCAACCAAAATTGCAGGAGTCAAGGAACAGATAGCTCCACTTAAAGCTACCAAAGCTACTCTTGACCTCATGGATAGTTACCGTTTAGATGTCAAGAGTGGAATAAGACAATTAAAATTAAAACTTCTAAACTACGAAGCTATACTCCAAAAGTTAGCAGAAATGAGAAGACTTTACCAGAGCTACTTACATGTAAGGGACTTACCTTCAAGCAGTCCGACCAAAGATGAATTTTCTGACATTGTCCCAATTTTGTCCGAAAGTCAGCTCAGATGTTTCGAACTGCTCCCAACATATCCGGAATATGAACGTTTGCCTGAACTCTTTCACAATCTCAAAAAACGTTTTTTGGTTCTCATGTTCCAAACTTTTATCGGAAGAGACAACAAACGTTCAGAAGAAGAACAAGATATTATTTTAAACTTGTTGTATGACTTAACCGTCATAACAAGCTTTTTGAAGTAAAACCGTCATTCTCAAACCACTTCATTTTTTCGATGTCCGAACAAGCACCGAAGCCAAACTCAATGGCAGATGTCCTTTCAAGGTTGTCAGACAAGCGCCCAGTTCAAATTCAAATTGCCCAATTGAACGCTCATCTGTCAAACACCATTAAGACTCTCCAAAGTAGTCTTATGGAAGAGATAACCAATCTCAAAGTCGAAGTCCTCACGAACCAAGCTTCCAATAAGAAAGTCCTGAACGATTTCGCGGAAACCTTGCGCCAATACAACATAGAGAACCAAAACCTTGCCCAACTCATCTACCGTTTCTTCGAAGAGATTGACACCATCTGGGCGGCACTCGGAAAGGACAGAACCTCCAACACCGTAATTCGTGAGTACCAAATTCAAGAAGGAATTTTCGAGGAAGAAGAGGAAGAAGAGGAAGAAGAGAAACACGAAGAAGAAGGGAATGGGCAACCCTTGTTGCCGATGACGCTTATGAAATTTCCCAACCCTACCCATACAAAATCCGCAACAAGGAGACCGGCAAGGTTCTTACCCCAGTCCTCAACAACTTGGGACACTTGAACCTTACCCTTCGAAATTACGGTTCAATTTCCATGGGAAGCTTGTCGGTATGCAATGGGTTCCAAATCCAACAAGAAGACGAGGGTCAGACACATTGACGGTGACAAGCTCAACAACCGTAAGGAGAACCTCGAGTGGTTCTAAGAGTAAAAAAATTTTATTTTAGGGGGAAACCCCGAGTAAATTTAGGTGTTTAGTTCATTAAGTAGGTTAAATTAAGGGTAATTTGGACAATTAGCTCCCGACCTCTGAATTGGGCTCTTTCGTTATCTTCCCAGTTGCGTAGGAGGTCGTCCCAGAGGAGTTGGTAGAATTGCCAATCCAAGGACGATTTGTCCTCCCAAGCATTGAGGATGTACTGCTCGTAGAGTCTCATGACCTCTGCCTTGCACCAGACACCCTCTCCCTTGGAACGTAAGGCTTCTTCGAGGTGCTCGAATGCGATTGGCTGCTTGACCATCCGAAATGACACTTTTTGTCCGTTTGGTCAATGTTCGTGTCTCGTGCCATAGTCGACGAAAATACAGACAAACAGGTTATATATGAGTTTGAGACCAAGAATGGTGTAACTCGACCTGTCCGATTCAAAGACTCCGAGGGCGACCATGAAATTAAACGGAAATTAGCTAGGAAGGAATATAAAATGGACTGGTTGCCACCACCTCCACCTCCACCACCTTTACCTGTTCCTCAAGTAAATAAGCCTTTCCCGTTCCCAAGAATTCCCACATTTTAATTCAAATTCGAATAAAAATTTTTTATTTCATGCAATGTTTAACTATTTCACCATCTTCTTTAACACCCCAGTACTTACGCTTGGAGAGGACATGAACTTCGGTGAAAATTTTGTCCAATTTGAATTGACCCATCTTCTCACCGACCACCCATTTCAATGAGTTTGTTGTACCTTCTTCGTTCGTCATGAGTGCGTCAATGTTCTCATAGTAAACCTTGACTTTCGATTTGACTTCGAGAAGAACTCATTGTAGTTGTCAAGGACTGCCTTTGCGAACTGAGGGTAAGACCAATGTTCGACAATAGGTTTTAATGTGGTTACTAAGCCACTTTGACCTTGAGTGAATTCGTACTTCAAAACAAAAGGAGAAAACCTTTCAACAAAGTTGTCGACCTTCTCATAATGTTTACTCTTCATCTCTTGAGGTTTCTTAATGGAATATCCCCATGTCGAATTCATAAGCAATTTGAGTGTCATTGCAAGTTTGGGGTTTGAAGCTTTCCTAATATCATACAGTTGTTGTATGACTTTTCCAACTGTATAGTTCCTTCCCGGGAACTCACCATCTTCGTTTGGAATTCCAGTCGGAATATATTGGACAAACCTCATGTATGCAGCGTTAAGGTCGACATAGTATATCTTTTCATCTGAGTCGAACTTGTCGCAACCAATTGGTCCAGTTTGTGGAAATTCAAGTGAGTCTCTTATCTTCTGAGAAACTTCTCCTGTTATCTCATAAACATCGTCGAAGCAACCTGTTTCATATAAAACCTTCTGACCTAACTCAGATGCTCTCCAATACAATTTGACGTCAATTGGATGTCTCAATGGAAGTTTGTTTATAGCATCTTGAAGTTCTTGCAACCTCATTGGAAGTTCTTCTGGTTCAGGTTGGTATCCGAACAATCCAACTCCTTGTGGAATTGTGTACTTCTTTTGTACTAGAACTTTGTCTGGAACAACTTTTGGTCTTGCTAACATGAAAAGTTTGTTTCGTCTTTTGGTACAAAAGTTTCTGTCAGCTTGTCATCTGGAATTGGTTCCAACAAACCTTTCTCGAAAAGAATGTTTACAGCTCTGACAATGTTGCACTTGCCTTTTCCGAACAATGGGTTTGTAAGACTTTCGTTCAACATGAAGTGGTTGTGGACAATTACAATCTTCAACCATGGTAATTTGTCAACAACATAGTCGTCATGTGAAGAACCTTTAGCTGTAGGTATGTTGACTCGGATATTGACATTTGCCAACGGTGCAATTTTTGCCAATTGACCTCTGAGAATGTACCTTGTCTTCACACATGACTCAAGATACTTCATCTTCTCATCTGTAACAAGACCAGAGTTCCTGAGACATGTAAGAATGCAAGGTTCATTGACAATTGTTTCAATTGAATTGTAAATTCCATACCTTGTCAAGTCAATGTCAGACTTATTTCTGAACGGGAAGTATCCAGCATGTTGTCTGACTGCTTGAGGGTTAGGTTGGTACCATTCGAACTTGACACTTGCAATTCCTTCAATTGCATTCAAAATGTCTGAGTCGGAGTCAACCATTTGTTCTCTCTTTGTAGTCTTGAAAGCGTCAAGAAGTTTTGCGGCTGTTTGTTCATTGCCATGTGCATAGTAAATGTGACCATCCAAATCTGTTATGGTCAATCTGAGATTGTGTCCTTTCTTATTTCCGTCTTGTATGGCAGCAAGTACTCCCATGAAGCCTTCTTTGTTCTTTCCTTCGTCAAAGTTTACTGTAAAGGTTCGACCAGATGTAATTTGACTTCTAACTTCACGGTACTTCTCATATGCATATCTTGTTCTTTCCATGGGAGCATGTGTGTCTTCACCTTTTCCTTTTTTCCTTCTCAAAGGATGCAATTGTTCGTCATGTTTCCAGTAGAATCTGGCAAAGCCGTCGTGTCCTTCAACTTGAGGTTCACTAACATCGAAAGGCATGTCCATAAGACGTTCTTCTTCTAACCTCTCTAGTCTGTTTGGATAATTTGCACGTGCTGTTTCCAAATCCATTTCGTAGCGAAGACCAGACAATTTGTCATAGACTTTTATGGGTCTTCCCTTCCTATATTTAAACTTCTTCGAAACTCTCCAACCATATCTTTGCAACTCTGCTTTTATTCTAGCAGATTTTCTATCCATTCTATATGGGGGCATTTTTATAAAAATAAAAAAATATTTTTTTCTTTACTTTACATAACCGCCTGCTGCCATAAGTCTTTGACGCCAACCCATACCAGCTAATGAAGGTTGACTTGGTTTAGTTTCCAAACTAAACTTTGGTTTTGGTTTATCTTCAGTTTTTGGTTTTTCTTCTTCTATCGGTTTTTCGTCACTTTTCGGTTCCTCTGACTTTACTTCACTTGCAGGAACAGTTGTGTCGTCAACATCTTCATAAATATCATATGCCATTTGTTTTTGTTTTCCTTTCAACTTTTTGTGTTTGTTGTAAAGTTTAGAATATTTCGACTCTAAGTCAATGAGATGTTCTATAATGAACTGTTGGTCAGTGAAGTAAACTTTTCCATCTGTTGTCTCGAAAGCTCCTTCAGACTTCAATATTTTATTTGTGAGAGTCTGTTTCTTTTTTGAGATACTAGCCGTTCCATTTTTATGAAAAGTGACTTTGTAGTTAGGGTTTGTATTTCCAGACCTGGCACTTTCTATTATTGAATTTTTCTCTTCATCTGTAAGTTCTTTGACAGGTTTTGACAATGGTTCTGAACTTTTTGTTTGTGGTGTCAAATCTACCGTTTCAACTTCTTCGGTCATTTCATCTCAGTAAAAATTTTAGTTTGGTTTGTTTTCAACTGGTTGTTTGTTTTTTAAGTCGGTCTAAAACTTCCTGAGGTATAGGAAGAACTTGACAAACACGTTGTGTAACTGCTGGAAGCCGACAAATCCATCTTGAACCCATTTGTCTCAATGCTGTATTGTTCATTTCATCTCAGTAAAAAACTTTACATTCCCCACGTTTGAGGTGGTTGCGGTTGGTTATTGTTTACCCACTGTTGTGCATGGTTATATCCTCTGTTAAAGAATCTTTCACCTTGGTCCATATAGTGTCCTGCTTGGTTATAGTAGTCATTTGCTTTGTTATAATAGTTTCCTGCTTGTCTTCCTACATTGTCCATCCATCCTTGAACTTTTCCTCTTGTTTCAGGATTTGGAATAAGATTTGTTGCATCTCGTGCTACATCCCAACCTTTCTGTACAGTTTGTATAATAGGTTGTGCTTTCTCTTTAAGTATACCTAATGTACTCAAAATCTTCCTTCCAACTCCAAATACACCTCTGGCTATTGTTCCCACTGCGGGTAAAAATCTGGATGCAACTCCTGCTAACGCGCCAAATAAACCCATTTCTTATGGGTTAAAAAATGACGAATCCAAACAAGGACCCCTATGTTTCTAAAGCGACAAAGAAAGCACTCATGGTAAAAATCTTTAGTTCAACACCAAATGCTTGGTTTATGGATATCTTGGAAAACATTCCGAGGTATAGAGAAGATGGACCACCATACTGGCTAATATTTGTCGGTCAAAACACAAGATACTGTGAAGCCATACCATTACAGTCCAAAAATATTTTTATATCTTAGCAGCTTTGACAATATTCGTTGACAAATACCATCCAACAAAACTGACATCTGACTGTGAAAGTTCTTTCAAATCAGATGATATTAAAAACTATCTGCGTTCAAAAAATGTAAACCAATATTTCATTGTCGACCAAAACCATTCTGCTCTTGGTGTCATTGACGGTTGTATAAAAATGTTAAGAGACTTAAACCAACCACAAGGTGGTGAAGCAAATGAAATGTCATATGACGACAAATATAGACACTTCTCCATGGCAAAGATGAGACAAGTTTTAAATATTTACAATAGCCGTAAACAAAAAGGTTTGGGAAACCACTCCCCCGAAGAAATGAAAAACAACCCTGACTTAGAGAAAGACTATATATTTAATAATTTAGTCAAAAGAGACAAACAAGAAAGAATGCCGGGCTTCAAACTTCAGAAAGGTGACAAAGTAAAAATAGAAATACCTAAACGCGACCCATATGAAAATACTATTGACTATGACAACAATGGGAACCGACAGGTACTCACATTCGTGTTCGTAAAAATAGAAGAAAGTATACAAGAGAATATTATGAAGTTTTAGGCAAACATGGCAAAATGTACACACTGCAAGCAGAAGATAAAACTACTATTGCCAGACCTCGTTTCAAACTTGTCAAAGTTCAAGGTGGTATACTTTCAAAGACAGTTCCTAACAAATATAAGACAACTCCTGACGAATATGCTAAAGAAGTTGAAAATGACGACTAAGCAATTCTATACCATGCGTAAACTGTCATGTAAGGTGGCATGTATTCTTTACTTTGTCCCGTTGTTTGCGTATATCCTGAAACGAAATGTGTATGGTTTCCTTCTCCCTGAGTGTCACTCCAGTAACAATTTATAGCAAACTTAACGTCGTCTTTAACATCATATCCTTTACCTTTTGTCATTCCTGACCAATCCCAATATCTATGCTTATGCCAACCTGCTTGAGATGTACTTAAATCTATGTAGTGACTGTGCAGGTAAATTTTCACCTGAAATCGTTTTACTTCCACCTGTTTCCTTTGAAGAGTTTGCACAATACAAAAACCTGTCGACTATTTGTTCCCATGCACCAACACCAAACATTACTTGAGGACCT